GGAGCTGCCCGGCACCTGATAGGGAGAGGGGCAGAAGGGGGGACGGGGTTCGGAGCCGATTGTAAATACGAATAAAAAGCGGTGTTGCACTTGTGAGAGTAAACGTTGAGCGAAGGGCTCCGGCGCCGCCTGCCGCGGGTGCCCTGGACGTACCTGGGGGCAGCTGTCGAGGCGCAGGGCCCGGGCGGCAGCAGCAGAGCGAGGGACACGGTGAAGATCGTCCCCACAGCCGGAGCTCACTGCGAAGGACATGGCCTCCCCAGTCAGAGCAAGGTTCCTCCTCACCCCTGGGGCGTTTTGGGTGCCGGTGACCGCGCAGGGCTCAGCCAGCCCCGTTTGCTGGTGATGGGTCTTTTCTTACTGACTTTCCGCAACGAACGTGCGCGGTTTGGGTTCCTTTGGCCGTTCCTGCGCTCGCGTCGGCGCTGCCGCACTTGTTCCAAACCAGACGTTGTGAGGAAGCGGAGCGGGAGTCTCCTCGTGAGGACTATGCAGACTTTTTTAGAAGTGCAATAAAAGCATTTGTTTTACGTTAGAGTGAAGAGCTCCCTCCGTGTTGTCTTTTCGCTCTGGTGTTGTGCCTGGAGATTCCTCCTGGCTTCAGGGTGAAGAAGGGGAAGAACGAAGCGATGGTGGCCAAGGAAGAGAAACTCCTGCGGCTCCCGGCCAGGCAGGGCTGTGCCAGCTCCATCAAGTGCCCTGGAGCTGCCGGGGCGGGAATTTCACCTCCTCCAGCAGAGAAACGGGTGAGTTTGGTGACTCTGAGCGATTTCGGGTTGGAGCCGGTGTGCAGGGAGAGGCCGGGGTCCTGGGGGGATGGCAGTGCTGGTGACTGGTGCCGGGGGGTTCTCCTGTCCCTTGGAGCCCGGGATCCGTCCTGGAGCCTTCCCCAGCGCAGCCACCCCCGTGTGCACTCAGGGGTGTGGAAGAGGGAGCAGGGGGTACCCTGTGGGTTAAATGGGTGAAGAGGAGGGAGCACCGCTCCCTTCCTGCCGCCAAAATCTCTGTTTTCTTCATTAATCGAGGAATTAAAACACAGTGAAATACTGAGCTGCTCAGGTGCCCCTGTGCCGTCTTGGCACCCTTTTCCTGCTGCTGCTGCTGTTCTGGCTCTGACAAAACACAGGTTTCTTGTCGGGAAGAAATGCATGGGGAGGGTTTTTTGTGACAAATTGGACAGATGTTCCTAGCACTCGTTCCTGGAACAGGAGTTGTTGTAATTAGCGGAGCCGTCTCTGAATGGGAATCGTCGGCACGGTCCCCCCCGGCTCTCGGTGCGCGTCTCCCCGATGTTCAGGAACCAACGGCTCCCGCGGGAGGATCCCGCGTTCCCGGTTGTTGGTGATAAAGTCACAGCTCCGTTATCTGCCGCAGCTCCAGCTGCCCCTGTCCGCGCTGCGCCTCTCGAGGTGATGGGTGCCGCGGATGCCGCAATCGCCCGTGTCCCCTCCCGGCCCGGCGGCGGTCCCGGCGCTGAGCAAAGGGCAGGTTTCCTCAGGGAGCGTGGGGCCGGGCGGACTTTGCT